CAAAAACCCCTTTCAATATTAATCAACATATGCCCACTAGTGATTGGCTTCAGTAAGTATTTCCTGGAGTCCTAGTGAGAAGCAGTGACAAGTGGAGTTCAACCGGGTCTATTGTGAGATAGTAACTCACTGAAGACAATGGTGGCTGTGTCACTTAATCTCGTGAATTAGTTGAAGTGAGACATAAACATTGTTGGATGCCGGCTCAGTAGTCTAGTGATTAAGCATTCGCGTGCGAGACTGTTAGGTCCTGTGTTCGAACCTCGCGAGGCGGGGCAGGGGATCCATACTACTGAGGAGTCCCACAATTGAACAAAACGGTCATCCTATGCTTCCACGCTTTCCATGGTGGTTTATCTTCAATTGACTCATGATCTCAACCATCAAAATTTCTATAATATCCACAATAAACCCCTTCTGATATTAATTTCTTTGGTAATCTTTTTAATTGTTTACATTGTATCAATAATGTTAACTGAGTCATTTAGTTTTTCACTTTAATCATTAAAACTAACAGATAAAATGCGATTATTATTCACATTATTGAATAGTTTTAATTACCTTTCAATAATTGTTTAAAGTTTCAATTATATCTTTACAAAATAATCAAATAGAACTGGGAGAAATTTTCATCATCGAAAAACTATTATTTCACTATGTAAATGTTATATTCGGTCGTCGCTGATTGCTGTGCCAGAAAAACGCTGATCACTTATACTCGGAACGAGGGACCTCGGCAATTCTCACGATGCGAAAGTAAGAACACAAGACTGGGCTAATAAATCTTCAGTGATACCAGTCTTGTGTTCTTACTTTCACATTGTGGGAATTTGCCGAGGTCTCTCGTTAGAAATAAATTGATGAAAGATAAATGATTTTACTAAAAAGTATTGGACTGTATAAAATGAACATATTTTATCATTGTATCTGTAATAAATTAATCAATTACATATATATCAATATTTTGTAGGCAAGGATTAGTCCTACTATTAGCAACAACCTACTGTGGGAGAGAAAAAACCAGATCCTAGCGAAGGAAACAATGAGGAAGAAGCGCTGGAAGTGGATAGAACACACATTGAGGAAAGCACCCAACTGCGTCACAAGACAAGCCCGCACATGGAATCCTCAAGGCCAAATGGAGAAAAGAGGAAGACCAAAGAACACATTACGCCGGGAAATGGAAATAGACCTGAGAAAAATGAACAAGAATTGGATGGAACTAGAAAAGAAGGCCCAGGACAGAGTAGGTTGGAGAATGCCCGACCGTTGTTGCTACCTTGATATGGTGGTCGGGCTTGCCTATCGTGATGAAACGACCGAGCTATACTGACTGGAACAACTGTTCCTCAAGGTCCTATCACGTCAGAAAGGTCGGTTGAAGAGCGGTAAGACTAAAAGCAACAAACCCAAGGTCTGAAGGCGAAGTCGTACTGCTGACTGTACAGAGGTGTGACAGCAGTAAGGTGTTTCCTTCAGACAACCAGCATGACAGCGATGCTGCCTTCCCACAAGGAGGGGTGGGGTTAGAAAAGGTCGACCTAAAAATGCGCACCTCGCCTTATCCCACGGATATCCGTCTCCGGCGGTAAGGTCTCAACAAGTACGGAGCTAACACAAAAACTACCCATGAAAAGGTCGTGTGTGACCGACCTCAAGCAGTTGTCCCTTGGGCACTGCGGTCACGCTCCCTGGTCACTAAGACCACTTCTAATCCGATTTCCTTTTCAGGTACCTCCAGAAGAACCCTTCCACGGTGTGAGCAACCGTAAAGTGATAACCGCCCTCATACCTCCAACAGCACTCAAGACCACTGGATTCATAATCAACCTCCCTCTTCAATTCCTATTATCCCTCCTACATCAACTTCAAACTCTAAACTTCTTTTTTCGGCTTCCCCCTCAAGTGTCACCATAGCCAACGATTCTAGTGCGCGAAACACTGTTCCAGGTCTACTGGAACCTCGCTCCACACTACACATTGGAGCCTTCAATGTACGCACTCTATGTCAAATCGGTCAAAAGACTTCCCTGGCTAAAACCCTAGAATCTCGTACCATTGATGTATGCTGTGTCTCTGGAACACACATACAGGATTCCAGTGTGGTCATTCACTTGACCTCACCTCGGCAAAACGGAGAGCCAACGAGATACACCTTCCGTCTATCTGGTGGCCCGATGGCCAGCTCTCGTGGACTGGCAGGAGTAGGGATAGCACTAAGCATGAGGGCTGAACAAGCACTGTTAGAGTGGATCCCCGTCAACAGTCGTCTATGTGCTGGCCGGCTAAACGGCTCCGTAAGAACTCGGAAGGATAGGGACACACGTCGTTGCCTTGTTGTCGTTTCTGCCTACGCTCCCACTGACTGCAGCTCAGATGAAGTGAAGAATGAATTTTACAGAAAGCTTTCTGAACTTCTTCAGAAAGCTAAACGCTCAGACATAGTACTCGTAGGGGGTGACTTTAATGCTCAGATAGGTAGCTTAAACCAAACAGAAAGGCATTTAGGTGGATATTTTAGTATACCGGCACAACGAACAGATAATGGTGATCGTCTGCTGTAACTATGCTCAGACAATCGATTATTTTTGGCAAACACAAATTTTAAGCATAAGGAAAGACATCGTCTAACATGGCGACCCCCTACACCAGACCAACGATGGACTCAAATAGACCATAATGCCATCAGTCATCGTTGGAGAGGGTCGGTAGAAGATTGTCGCTCATTCTGATGTACCTGTTTGGACTCCGACCATGCCCTAATACGGGCATTAAATCAAAATGATTTTCTTCAGTTTTATATTTCAGCGCAATTAAAACAAATATAAGCACCCTAAAGCAAAACGTCAATTTAAAAGTGTACATGGATTTTTCTTCACTTGGTGAAGGAAAAGTTAACCAAAACAAAAGAAAACGATGCAATGATAACAATAATGGAAGGTAACAAAGACTAAGTAAACAAAAGATAACAAGGTAGAAAATATCTATAACAGTAGTATACTTACCATTTAAAAAATGTAGTTACCGTACACTAAACTATCACATCGTATCTCTTTATTCCAATCATTTTAAGGTTTCTTCTACACCAAGTACACTGATTTATGAGCTTTCTCATGAAATGATTATTTTTACGGTATATATGTGATTTAATTATGTTGACATTGGAAATTTTGATAAAATGCCGATAAGAGAGTAACTGAAGAAAAACTAGTTATTCATAATATTTGATAACAACTGCTTAAGAAACATAAGTAGATAGCGAAGAAAATCTCTAATTACCCTTCATAAAAGTTAGTTGACATTTTCTATAGACTAATGTTTTAAATAATGTTGATTTATAATAATTTAGGTTACTGAAAGGAAAACAAAAAACTTTAAAATAATATCATTTAGATTCACTTGATGTTGTTTTACTTGTATCTCCCAATTATTATTTAGTACTGAAATCTTGTTGGCATATGTGCATCCTATGCGGATTGCCTCAATAAAGCCTTAAGTCACAAGCTTTTAGTTCTGAATATTTGAATTACACTAATGGAATAGTATTACTATCGGACAGAACTTATCCTCTACATGAATCTGTAATTATAAGCAGTTATAGTAGCAAAAACAGAGAAAACATGAGATTAAATGTTTGAACGTTAGAAACACAGTGCACTTGAATGATCTTTAGCTCTAGCTCCATTTTCATGGTTATTACATAACGGTAAATATCGAGTTTTAAATACTAAAATCATTACAAAACTATTCACTTTTTTTTAAATGCAGTATAATATGCATAATTTTAAATATTAGTTGAAAGACACTGACTTCATGGAGCTTTCGTCTCAGATTTTGAAATGGATAGATTAAATGTCAATAAGTACTAGCTATGGTGGAATTTGAGTTTTAATAAAGAATATTTTTGGGTTTTGAAATGGAGATTTGTAGCTTAAGTGGATGATTTTGGTAGTTTTGTTCCCGATAAAACCATCGAACTCAGAGAACAAAACTCCACCTATATCTTTAAGTTATCTATTTCTGGCATCCCCGTACATCATTGGTTGATTATATTAAAAGAATGAAGATTATGCAGACACTTTTCTAGAATCAACCAAACAGAAGTTATTTTGAATAATCTCGGCAATTCTAAGTGTTTTTGGAGCGTCTTGTAAGAAAATCAGATAAATTCTATTACGATGCTTACACCCACAAGATGAATGATGATCCAGAACTTTACTCAGTTAATACCCGTTTTTAGAAGAAATAGAAAAATCCAGATAAATTTGTTCGCTTTGGGGGTTGCATCAGCCACAATTGGTGATTAATTGCAAAACCCCACTAGTGAATAAAGAATTTTCATTTTAAGTTTATTAACTTACGAAGCCAACAATATATAAAATTGTCCATTGATAAGCGAGTATAGTATGTGGAAATCCACACATTATTATTTTGCTACTATGAAGTCGACCATAATTGTAACTAAGTGTTCATGTTATATCCAATTCCAAATCTTGAAAGATTTAGCTTCTTTCATTGTTTTCTGATCACGACTAATGTGCAATTTTAATTCAATATTTTTACATCGAACATAGTTTTTTGTGGTGTGAACTTGGACCGTTTTTAAAATTAAGCAGTACATCGGACTAATGCTATTAAAAGACGGGAGTGTGGAGATAAGGGCCCATCGCATAAGGAAATCAATAATTTGGAACGAATCAATTTATTCATACCATTAGAAATTAAAAAATGACAAGTAACTATGTTTTCATTTTTTCAACTGTGCGAAATAGGCCGAAAAGTAAACACCTTATTTGAAATAAAATACGAACCCACTCAACCTTTCTCATTTCTAAGAATTTATGATAACTGATATATATGTGTTTTCCTACTTAAATCTGTAGAAAGATTAGTTAGAGAGTTACTTAACTTTAAGACATAAGATCAAAGCGGGATTTGGTAATTTCGTAAAAATCATACATTGATCACTTTGACTTAGAAAACAAGCAAAAGTCAAGCAGTTATTTAAAAATAATATGTATTGTGTTTTATTTAGGTAGTTAAAATCATTACAAAAAACATCGCATATAAGAAAATGTGAATAGATAGGTGTCAAGAGAAAAAACGGTAGCGAAGGTGGTAATGATTGACATGTCGCATAGAAAATTCAATGGAATCCACTTAAAAAACGTCATACATTGTATATATTGTTGATAAAAATCACATCATGTAATCGTAAATTGACTGAATTGTTCGGTAATAGTAATGGAAGACATTGCAAATGTTAAAATATTTAAACACAAATTGAGTTGTTAGTAAAACACGACAGGTTAGATGAAATACCTGAATGTGTCAAATGATAGTCAGTTCAGTTACTAATTTCCATGCTGGAAAACGCATACTTAATCATACATACAAACGTGCAAATACCTAAAAACACATAAGAATGCGATACATTATATAAGATAAATTCGTACATGAAGGGAACTCATTTAGTTAAAGTGTAGTGTAGCTACGACGATTGCGTTTGCTGAAAACAATAAATACAGTTATGGCAACCACAATACAGACAATTAGTGCAATACCAACACCAATAGGTACCATATTATTAACATTAACATCCGAATCACATAACGTTTCTGTTAAAAAGAAAATTAAAGGGGGAGGCTTAAGTATTGAAAACAAACAAGTTATTTCGGAAGCAATCTTCAGTGAAAGATTAAAATTCAATGCTTATAAGCTTAAATCTTTGATACAAGTTAAATGTTGTATAACAAAAAAACGGAGAAACATTGGTTTATGAAACAATTTTATTAGCTCGTAATAATATTTCATAACTATGGTGACAAATTCCTCGATAAGTAGATAACAGTAATCTCGACAACAAGATTACTATATCTATCAACGGAAGAAATATATCCAAGTAGAGAATTAGTTCTACTATTTTTTTATATTTATTTCTATACAACTGATTAAGTGAAGTATTAATGAAGTAGTGACTAAAATTCAGTTCATTCTTGTAACATACTGTTGTTTAGCGTGCTGAAGATATATATATATATATATAATTTTTGGTTTTCATAAACCTTATTTTTTGTTTACTATAATTCTATGAACTTCTAACACCAGAGCATAATTACAAGTAAGTGTTAAGGGTTAACAATGCAAGTGGAACGATATTAACAACAAACCAGATTAGGTCAATACAACTTACCGTTTCCAATAAATGCTTCCACAGAATTGTTCATGAATGCTTCTACTTTTAAATTTTCCATAAATAACTTGCAACTATTAAAGATTTTTTCATTTCCAGTCAGGGTAAGTTCCGGTACAGTCAAACATGAATAATATGATCCAACAGGTATTCTAAATACCATATTATTACTGGACACATTAACATATTGACCTAATGATAGAATTAGAAACAGTAAATTACAAACCTATATGAAACTATGAACATCTTACTAATTTTACACTAACTGTTTTGTTTTGCCAAATGACACATTATGGAAACTAATATAGCATACATAAAATCAAAATCCAGGATATTTACTAACTCCCTACAACCAGTTAACAATTACGAGTACATTATATTGAGGACACATTTATTTTAAGATAATAAAAAAAAGAATGAATAAATCTAAATAAGATTATGAGAAATGTTTAAACGTTTCTTCTCAGCCGCCTGTTCTCGTTCCTTAGAACTGTTGAAATTGATTAACTTAGATGCTTGAATACTATAGAAATATGAAAAAATAGAGACCAGTTTTTTTTAAGTAAGAACACTATGTGTTCGGAGTCTATTTAGTGACCTAAATAGTTTCTTCTAAATTGTGAGCATACAACTTCAAATACTGCCAGAACTAAATAAAAGTTCAGCAGCTCTGTAGAGGTCCATCTTCAAACGCTTCACTAAAAAATTACCAGATCACTAGTATGAGACTCATTTGAATTTTATTGTAAGTTTAAAGATCTTTAAAATGGAGAAACAGCAATATTGGAAAGAATAAATTTCGTATCAGTTATATGAAAATGATTTGTTCATATATTGGAGCCAGACAATATTCTAGACTTAGACAATGGACTGTTTAATAATGTAAAGATACTGAAATGAATAGGTATAATAAGAAATGAAAGAATTTACCATGGGAAACATTGCAGTTTTCACCAATGTCCTTATTATAATCGAAAATTCGATACTTTTCTCTAAATCGTATCACTATTTAGTAAACCAGTTGCTACAATCATATATATATATATATCGAAGGGGTGTCAAATCAATATTTTACGCACTGCTGAGGCGCTGGTAATTCACGAACTCAAGCCCGAACTCTGAGTGCAAAAACGGTTTGTCCAACCTTCCTTGGCCCTAATTCCCTTAATGGGTTTTTTTCTGCACTTTTATTTGATTATTTAAAGCAATTAGTCCCTTTTATAAATTTCGATAGAACAATGAGAAGACGGAGTTGATCTGAAAAATGTGATGTATTAGCGCTATACATTTCGAACAATCTGGTCACACATATACTTGTCAGGGCATTTTTACATGAAAATTGATGAAGGTCAAACAAATAAAAGTACAATTAAAATAACTAGGGGGAGAGAAAGAATAAGAAATTGTCGCGTTATCCTAGGCCATAGAATGACTTAAGGATTACCAAGGTAAATTCAAGGTTACGACAAATTGTTTTTGTACACATACGAATAGCCAAGGCTTCAATAAACTTAAGAATTCGACCTTGACAATTTCTGTACAACATTCTAAATGCTGTATTAATGTTAATTTTGTGCCCCGTCTCAATTATATGTTTTGCTATCGATGAGCTTGGTTTTCTACCTCCTGCATTGATCGGATCATTTGACATACATTGATTTTGAAGCCATCTAGGCACATGTTCATTGACCCTTGATTGCATTGTTCGATTACTCCTCCCTATGTATGTGTCCACACAAACATGTAAATTGGTAAACACAATGGGATGTGACGTAATCATTAGTGCATTGTTTGGGTCTATTAGGAGTCATGACCTTAGACTTTTCAATCACTATCAACTGAGCAGCAAAATACGTATTCTCGACGGCTGCTTTCAATCTCTGCCTTAAGACTATACTGTTAGATTCGCCTCTATATGGTAGATTGATATGAACTTTTTTCTTTGGCACTGAATAAATTAGAGGTCTTGGCATTAACTGATTTTTGCACCTATTAATAAACTTGAGTGGATAACCATTTGCTATTAATGTGTCAGTCAGTAACTTTTCATCTTTTTCCACTCGAAGAATATGTACCCCTGACATGGTGTTATTTGTTTGACCTTTATTAATTTTCATATAAAAATGCCCTGACAAGTATATGTGTGACCAGATTGTTCGAAATATATAGCGCTAATACATCACATTTTTTAGATCAACTCCCTCTTCTCATTGTTCTATCGATATTTGATTATTATCGAATTTTTTGAAATTACTATTTTGCATTTTAAACTCTAATCAGTTATTATTATTATTATTAATTACATTATACAAGTTTTTTTGATTATTATTCAGTCTATTATTATGACCTTTGTGTTTGTCGCTAATCTTCATATTTGTCAATTGAACTATTTTCTGACCCATAAATTATTTCCTACCCTACCCCTTGATTAGTACACAACCTCATTTGTTATTTATCCTCGAATCCATTTTCGTGATGCAATTTTTTTTATCCTCCTATAGACATAAATTTCCCATATAACTACATATACGAATGTACAGCTTAAGTAAATGATTTCGTTGAAAAAAAAATTTCTTCGCTAAATTCTCTTTTTCTTATTCAATTACACTATGGGTTATTTTGATTATAATAAATTCATTGAAGAGATATCCTCTCTGCGCTTCGTGTTTTTAATTTTTAATCATCAAAACTTGTTTAATTATTGCGCAACTCATCTAACCAGTTTTTTTTTAAATTGCAGGATTCTTGTGCAAACCCTTCATTACCTCTAAAATTATCACACAATTTATCTGTCTTTGAACTTCACTCAATTATTCTATCATTCATTCCCCATGCTATTTGATTCTAACACCAAATAACCTCCAACCTGTACTTGCACACACATATATAGTTATTATTGATAACCTTTGTTATTCCAATTATTTATATTCGCTTATGTCAAGCCTTAACTTGGAATCCTGAAGGGAAGCGTAAAAGAGGAAGGCCAAAGAACTCATTACGTCGAGAAATAAAAGCAGATATGAAAAAGATGAATAAAAACTGGAAGGAGCTGGAAAGGACTGCCCAGGACAGGGTTGGATGGAGAATGCTGGTGAGCGGCCTACGCACCTTCACGAGGAGTAACAGGCGTAAGTAAGTAAGATGTCAATTGTTTCAATGTAAAATTTTAATATATATTTGGTTATAAGCAGCTGATGAGAAACCACAAAAATATAGTGAATTCATGTTATTATGCATCCATGTTCGTTCTGGCTTTATTTAATAACATGAAGTTTGTTACTGGTTGATAGTAATCAGGATATGACGACTACAAATTCTACTAAACTTTATCATAACTCCTTACAAGTATAACAGAATGCTTCAGTTTTACAGTCATACAGTTGTTTTATTGAGTGAGAATTAAGTAATTTTGTAACTTAGAGCCTTAGGGATGTCAAAACAGAAGCTCAAACCTAGCTAAGTGATAATGTCATTCATTAGAAAATAAGAATAAGTATTAAAAGAAATAACTTACCTGGTGTCAATGAATCCGGAAATAAAGTCTTATCCATATAATAAGTTAATATTAAACTGTTCAAAGTATAAGTAGATCTCACAGTAGTCGCATCATTTGAAGTTTTGTTTGGTTCCATAAGATTAAACAAAAGAACTAATGTCCACTTATGCTCTTCGTTTTGTCCATATGGCATGAACGTGAGTGATAATTTCGTATAATGTTCACTACATACACTTTCATTATCGTTAATAGTAGCATTAGATACAGTAAATTTGTAAGATTTTACCAGTTTATTCTATTTTTCAAATGGAACACAATTTATAAGAGGAATGATAGTCAAGTTTAAAAGTAACTGGTACATAAAAAGCTAACAACAGTAGATAAATTTCAATAATTGAGTTTAAATACATCATCGAATCCAGCTGTTTTGAGCACACATAAACAGTGGTTAGAGATAAGTACTAAAATCAATTAATGTGACTAAAATCTCTTAAGAGTTGTATGGTCTTCTGATCTATTCTTCCTCTTAAAATGTTCTCAACGCAGCTGTGAATTGTAGTTTGTCATGGGATTTATAAAGCTGAATACAGCCATAAAAATAAAATGGAAATGCGAAAATGCATATCTCTTTGGTAACTAATTCCTAGAGTTATTTAGAGTAGTTGGAAATCTATGGTGCCAAAAATACATAGCTAGTGTGCTCCGATGCATACTAAACAATTTGCTTTTGTTACTGGATAACGTCTGACACTGATTCACTATATTACGGATAAAAAACTCAAGTTACAGACCAGTAGAAAACTTTTTAAGACGTTACAAGTAATATCATATTTCATGATCCTGAAACTACAAATGAGATTTTCATCAGATATTTAGTACACCCTTAGAAATTACGTTGCTATCTACTGACGGTTGGTTCTCCGTATTTAATATACCTTGACTTTTTTCTGCGTATGAGTTAAAATGATGCAAGCCATATGCAATTACAAGTGTTGCACTATAAAACTAATTATCAAATTTAAAAACACCATCTGGATGTTCCAGCTCAAAATCTGAATAGTCTGCTTCATTGTCTGGATGTGAAAAAAAATCACGGCTTGGAGAATATAGTCAATACCGTCTAATTAAGACTTTAGATACATTCACAAAAGCCATATTCATCTGAACTTCTATGTGGATTTTTCATTTATCCTCAAGAAATAATTTTAGATTTTGTGTTAAATCACTCAAAAAATATTGAAGTAATGATTCTTAAACAGTCTTTATATCAAAGAAGTTAAGAGAAAACTATTTCCAAAGCTAACAACTACTTGCCAGCTAGTCAAATTCCTTATTTTGTTTATGTATAGCAAAGGCATACAATTGACAATAAGCTGTGATAACAAATTAGGGTTTTCTAAAATTCGATGTTTGACTATGGAAGTTTCGAAATTATTCCTAAACAATAAAATACATTTTCATGTATGAGTTATGCGCTCACGGTATAATACATATTCGTTATACCCTTTGGGGATACTTCTTTGTATATCAATTCAGTGTTGATGATATTTATGCACATCACACTAAACATCAGGTTCATGAACATCTATAGATTTATTCAAAGGGAATTTAGTAATAGTTGCAAAAAAGCCAATAAAAAACGGAAGTCATAATGATTTGATAACAATAAATAAAATTATTCACGATTATATGAGCTTATGCATTCCGCCATAAATGATACCTAAAACAGCAGAAAAAACGTTATTCACAGAAATTGTCCCAACTAATTCAGAATAAATCATAAGGATATTGTGAACTAAGTATATTTTTCGACAAATTATTTAGTCTACTTGTATAAGGAAATATAATGGTACATAAAAAACTTGTGATTTTTCTAGGGAGAATTTCGACAATATCCCTTTTAAACAATGCATATTCTTACCTGACTGTGATAGAAAATTTGAAATTTTATATCGCTTTGAAACAGAAAGCAGTAAGAGCTTCCGTTTTTCAGAGAAAATTTGTGTACATTTGGAATAGGTACAACTGTAGTGATCATATCTGTTGCCGTTGTTACTGTCGTTGTCTCCATTTCTTTTGTTGTCACTCCCGTTGTTGTAGCTGTTTCCGTTGTTTCTATCGCTATAGTTGAATCATTTGAATGATCTGTTGTGTTTTGAAGTGCTATAGTGGCTGATTCCCATGTTGTCGAGTTGGGTTCATCGGTTGTTGTTGTTGTAGGTAAATAAGGTAAAGTAGTACCGTTGGCAGTCATGTCATTGTAAGATACATTCATGACTGGAAAAATTATGTCATCAGAATAATCAGTCGCTTCTGTTTCTTCTGTCTCCGAAGATTGTGACGAGGTCGCATAATCTGAATAATGGGAAATCTTATTTGGAGTATAGGCGGTAGGTGTAAGGAAAAACATTTTTGCTTGAACCAGTAGACAATTTAGCCAGACAAACTTTGCTTAAAGACTAAAATATTGGTTCCTCATTCGCCATTATCAATAAACATTGTTAAGTTCATAGTCAAATATTCCTTAGATGACAGATAATCAAGCGACCTATCACTGCTACTTTCTAAAATATTCGACAGATCTACAACAGTCTCATGTGAATGATATTTGTGGTCTGTAATTTATTTGTCATAATATATTTATAGCATATTATGAACTAAAACAAAATGGTTAATTTTACTAGTTTGTGAAGCTTCAGTTCGCAAGATCAGACACATACTTAAGTGAATCACAAGTAATTTGAGCAGTCTAATGATAACCTTTCATTTGTTGTTCGTTTAGCTTCTAGATTGTATATATGCTAGTTTACAGTTCAAAAAGAAAATGGAATACCACATGAAATATCGACAAAATATTACTAGTGTATTTTTAATAGTTTTGAGGGTTAAAAGACTAGTATTTTTAAGGGAATCCAATAATTGATGCATAGTGAATCAAACATCTAAACGTTAAAATCTTACATCCTAGTCATCTAATGACAAGAAAAATAGATAACGTCAGAAGCTAGACATCGCAAAAATGTTTTAGATCGGGTAAAAATAACTGGTAAATAGCAAGGAAAAGTGGAGTTCTATTAACAGACATTTCACTCGCTATTTCTAGAAAAAACAGACAGAAACAAAGTAACAACGCAAAACCTAGAAAAAATATGTATTCCTCTTAGTAGCTACATATTACTTCAACGCAAACAAGGGAGATTGACTGAAGGAAACTCAATTAAATTACTATTGTAGCGCCAAAGTTGACAAGGAACTACAATGAAAATACAAATGATAACAAGCAAGGTTATACAATTAAAAAAACACCAAGAATGTTCGACTATGAGTCATTAAGATAGAAAACTAATCGTAGAAGTGTGAGCCTCTGACTACTTTCCTCTATGTACCGTGAAGTCTGCCAAGGAATCCCTGTCCCCTCTATTTGATTTATACGATCATTTAGGTGCTTCGTGACCAAGTGCCATATTTTAGTCACAGCAACTTAATACATTTTACAACATGTGTGACAAGACGGATAAAGCCTAAATCATAGACATTTTAAGAGATAAAATACGCAATATTTCTGATGGAATTATTCCGTAACCAATCAATTTATACTAAGCACCAAAAAATATCTTTTTGATTCCCATATATTAAAGCAATGTTTGTTAAATATTTATTCTATCACTTTCACTGTTCGGTGGATCTCACGGTAAACAAAATTGACTGTTAAATATCAACATCAATTTCTAACAAGCTTGTGGACATACCTCTAGGAAAGGAAAGTTAACAGTTCATATGAATATCTTGTCTGTGAACCGAAATCTCATCACGCATACGTTTAACCAGGGTTAGTGAGAATACAAAGTAATCAGTATGCTAAATAATATACTTTGTTACGGTCGAATTCCCAAGGAACATTATCGACGAAAATTCGTTAGTGAATGATGAGAAAATTAAAATATGAGACCCAGGTCATTTCTTGAGTGAGTTGGGATGTAATTTTATTAAATAATTAATTTAATGTATTTTCTAAACACTCTGATAATAAGCTATCATTTAATCAATTATTTATTGTTTTACCGCTTACTACTCAAAAATTACAGTTAGCTATGCGTTAATTAGGTGCGTTTTAACAAAGGCCAGAGAAACGTACGTTTCGTAGTTTATTTGTCGTGCGTTATGCTTCAATATTTAAAATATATAAACATGATAGCCATACGCCTAGAAAATTATGACTACTATTTTGACCTTGTGGTGTTCTGATTGACGGCTTGAGAATATGTAGGGTTCACATAAGGCTACCAACGGTGCCATAAAAGATAGATAAGTTAGTTGGTTGACCGTTACCACCACAGGCGACAAATGTAACAGATAAAAATATTACTTAAAATATCCGCACATTATTATTAGAACTATGCGCTGAGTCCTGATTATTTTCACATTTACAAACAATGTCATATGAAGTGGCTAATTCAAGTTGAATAACGAGTACTCAAGAAGCAAAACAATCTGTAAAAGATCTTAAGAATAAATAAAAACTTTTAAGGCCACGTTCAAATGAAGTCAGATGTTATGTTAAACTCAAAACATGAAGCTATAGTCATTTAACGACGGGCTTGTTTTAAGGGTGCTATTCAGCCCATATATTCCAAGTCCAATCTAAGACTTGCCCAGTTTTTACTGGTTCGCTGTACTTGAATTTCAGCTCGGTATGGGTCGTTAATAAATTTTATATTCTAGAATAATATAGAAAGACCATAGTTTACTTCCAAACATTATTCAGAGCAGCTCAATGAGGCTATGACTAAGTGTGTTGGGAGATTCCGTTGTTCAATTTAATGAATATAAACGACTATATAAAGACACATTATTCAGCGTCATTTGAAAAGTATTAAAGAAGCTATCAAAGTCTACGGGACTTCGCTTATTAACCAAAGTAGAGATAATATTAACACTAAAGTCACATACAACGTCCACTTACACTTGATGATGAGTCAGGAAAACAATCATTTTCTTTTTTGCTCATACAAAATAAAGCAAAAATCACCTTCATGTGTAGCTTTATTATAGACTTTGTCACTTATCTTATTTGTGATTTATCTAACCTTACTTAATTATCTACGCCTGTTACTTCTCGTGAAGGAGCATAGGACACCCAATAGCACTCTCCATCTAACCCTGTCCTGAGTAATCCTTTCCAGTTCTTCCCAGTTGCTATCCGTTCTTTTCATGTCTGCCTCCGACTCTCGGTGCAGTGTGTTCTTCCGTCTTCCTATTTTCCGCTTCCCCTCAGGATTTTAAGTTAGGGCTTGCCTCATGATGCAGTCTGGTGATTTCCTTGACGTATGTCCTACCCACTCCCAGCATATTTTCCTAATTTTTTCCTCAAATAGATCATTTGTCCCTTTCCACAGTAGGCTGTTGCTGATGATATCCGTCCAACAGACATTTAGTATCTTGAGTAGGCAATTATGTGAAATACTTGTGACTTTTTGATGATGATTGTGGTAGTTCTCGAAGTTTCAGCTCCATACAGTAGAACTGACTGTCTTGACGTCCGTATTAAAGATTCTTACTTTGATATTGGTTAGCTTTGCGTTCCATGTGCTCTTTAACTGTAGGAGTGTGGCTTTTGATTTGCCAATCCTCGCCTCTATCTCTGCATCAGATCCTCCCTGTTCATCGACGATGCTGACCAGGTATATGAGATTCCATATCTTCCGGAGTTTCTCCGTCAAGTGTGATTGAGATGGTGTTTCCTGTGTTATATTTGAGGATCTTGCTTTTACCTTTGTGTACGTTGGTAACTACTGCCGCAGAGACTGCTTCTAGACTGATTGCCTTAACGTGCATTTGTTGATGTGTATGGGATAGAAGGGTCAGGGTATCTGCAAAGTTCTGATCGCCTAGTTGCATGTAAGACGTTTATTGTATTCCGTGTTTCCCGTCAGATGTGGAGATCAACCACTGAGAAAAAGAAATGGGGGAGAGTAGGTAGCCCTATCTTACTCCGGTCCTCACTTGGAATACGTGTCAGCTGTTCTTCATGTACCACTTTTCACTGTAGCCTGTCGCATGAGTCCCGGATGATTTTGACGATTTTCTGAGGTACGCCATAGTGTCAAAAAGGGTTCCATAAGATCTTACTATAAACGTTATCAAAGGCTCATAGGACATTTCATGTACCTATATTAATTGTTCTTCGAGTTTTTAGAAGAGCCATCGGCCTCTTGACTTCCGAATAACCTCAGCCTTTACCGTGAAACGTCATAATTCTTCCGAATGAAAATCCATTTACTCACAGGGCAGAATTTAAATGCTTTAAATTGTTTATTGTGGTTAACATTTCGTTAAAGAGGTTATTTTCTATGGGAAGGAGTTGTTGACTCGATGCTCGACCTTACTCATTTACCTAAGCTTCATTTACCATAAGATATTTTCGCTACTGGATATACACAAATAATTCCTAATAAAGCGTAATGAGTACATAAACATCTACGACTTTACCTTAGGCAATACAAACCCAATTACCCCTTGATTTATCTATATACACTAAAATTTGCAAACCAAAACTATCCATATTCTGAATATTTATTTCCATGACTGACAAAGACTGCAGTAGTTGTGAAAAAAAACCATAAGAACGAGCATTTTAATGTGTTTGTTTGAGTTTCGTTGTTTAAGCTAGATCATTTCATAATGGATTTTTCATTATTTTCCGAAACACATCATCGTCATAAATTCCAGATAGAATATATTTGAATTCCTTTACATATAACCGACAAGTTTCCCTGTTGGCCTTGTTTTTTAATGTTCATTGTTGAAATTTACCTCCTCGTTGTTTGCATATTCATTCCAGTTGCAATTCACTTGGATCTGAATAAGGATCTTATATTCATTCACAATTTCCCAAACTGGTTTATAAATTGTATGTATTTGGGTGTATTTATTGACGGCTAGGAATTCTCTAGTATCTTGAGTGTTCTCTAAATCTAACGTTTCAACATTTTCTTAATTTAACTTGTTTTCAACTGTCTGCACGCATTGATATGAGCGAAGGTATATCATGACGCTTGATAGCTATTTGGTATTGACGCAGATGAAAATAAAGAGATTAACTACTTAGTACGATGTTTTTCTTGCATTTGAAAGTTTATTTTGTAAAAGATATTCGATTCTACTTCTTTTGTCCCTTTATACTTTGGTTTGTACTGAATCGATTTGAGTGGTCTTTATGGTTTATATGCCGAACATATTCCAAATGGCCTCAATAATTTTGTTGTTTCCGACATGTATTTTATATATAGCAGGGAGATCTGTTTGTTGGTCCCCACCTTTGATTCCATTTTTGCAGATGAGTCTAATAGTTTTTGATTAAGTTGCATGAATAGACATGTACATGTACATAATTCATACAACATATAATAATCTGGTTGATTTTGCATGAATCAGTTGTACTATCTCTACATCATAACCACGAATCAAGTTTCAAACTTTTATTATCCCAAATCTTAGGTTGATCAGTTTTTTTTTGGATTTAAACGACGGGAGTAGAACACTTGAGAATAAAGTTTGTGAGAGAAAATACCCAAAGAATCAGTATATCCTTTAATTCCGAAGAATCAAAATGTTTAAAATTGCCACTGTCCCTATTATTTTTATTTGATAGAAGACAGCTAAGATTATATTTTTATGTCTTGTTTGTATTTAATGATAAGACAAAACTAGGAGTAAACAAAAGTACGCTTCTATAGCACATGCCCAAATATTAGTTACTTTATGGAAAGACAGCTAACATTTAAAGTGGGGACGTCTTTTTTAGCCAAAGCATATATAATTTATTGTATACACGTAATTAGATATCAAATCCTGAACGCTTTGATGATTAAGAAGCCTGCTTAGAGGCAGCTTCTTTCAAAAAATTTCTAAATAACTCAAATACTCTACTGTTTCTCTACATCACCCGAAATACCATCCACAACAGACGAGATTGAGCAATATGCGACATACAAGACTGAAATTTGTATGTTTGTCAGTATTTAAAGAGTTCACCCTGAGGTTTATGTATTTTGAAATAAGAGGTTCTTTACTATAGGTTGCCCCAATATTATAGCCAATACCAATGTAGTTTCGCCACAGTACTAATAAAACTTTAGTATGTACATAGTATTCGGTGAATTAGTATAAAACATCCCGATTTCCGAATTTTGAGGAAATTCCGGAAATTTCCAAAAAATATTCGAAAATTCTGGTGTACTTATAAATACCTGTAAGTACATGACGTATATGTCAGTGTATCGTGAAAGAAAATTAGGTGGATTATGCATTAATAAACTCATCTCATTAATTTAAGCTAATCGGTGCTACAGTTTTGTAATTTTTTTAAAGACATTAGTTTCATAAGTATACTTATTAAAGTTACGTGACTTACCAGTTGTACCCGTAATCCCATGTACATCGCTATTGGAATGTGATAAAAGCACAAGTAACAAAAGCTCTGGAAATAACCACATAATTTTATTTCTGAGACTAACCAATATAAACTGAACTACCCAACAACATCCTAACAGGAACTAAGAAATTATTTGTAATGGTGACAACTTCGAAATCGGTCGACAAAAACAAATACTAAATGTTTCAACAACATAGTTATGCATAGTTCTTGTATCTCAAAAAATATTGTTTTGTATGAAATGACTGTTCTATCACATAAACGTGAAATTCGAGACTACTGGGCAGCCATAAGAGCATATATTTTTCCATAACAGTAATCAGTCTGCAATATATTCTTAACCAGAAACACTGAATATGATACTAGTTTGTACATGTTTTTATTGAGACAAATGCAGAGGCCTGTTTTGACTGTTCGTGAGCATGATAGAACGAAACAATTCTTTGAACGATGAATAATTTCTCCGTAGAATAATTTTTGACATTTTGGATGGTCCTGATAGGTTCAGCAGTCATCACTAGTTACTAACTGCTTGGAAATCACCATCATCATATTTCCTCACAAGCCGAGCAAGGAACTGTTTATTTCTCTCGGTTGATGGATCAGTATTTTGTATTTCATTTGTCTCGTTTTACGTTCAGGTACATTATTCATCCGGGTCCTTGCGTCTCCAGAAACATTATGGAATTATCTTAAGATCGTGAGTGGCCTGTTCTCTGTATACCGAGTATCTTGGTTTATGAGATGCTAAAAGTGAAAGCAGACAAAAGATAACAGTTGAACCTAATATATCAAACACTATTGTTCGGTACAACACCGACTGACGAAATAGTGAGTCAAGCTTGGTCACCCTAAAAAAAACACTAAAAAGCACATGGAAACGTACTTATTACCATATGCAAGTGCTCAAGTCAAAGATTTTAATATATGGAAAGATTTGTCTGCATTAGAAAATACAGCGAATCATGATGGCGTTATAGTAAAACAACTGATGCATAATACAGTGAGAATAGTGAAGAATAGTGTACAATTTATAACATATCACAATGTGAAAACCCAAGGGCGAGTCTTACTTCACTTGAGTATGAAGTCATAAATAAATCCCCAAAGTCAATAGATCCACAAGTCTTCGACACTTGATGTTGGCCTCATTAGTTTTACTGGACTCACTTAGCTGAAGGCGCTCGATCAGGCATCCGCATCAGATCACGAGTGGATACATTGTGCTGCGCATCCCTTTCAACTACCAGCCAGCCTGTACCAAACATTCCTTCGACAAACAGATAACCTTCCAAATATATCTTCAAACTCTTTCATTCTTGACTTCTGATTTGACTAGGTTGGCATATTCAGATTATGAGTGTTAAGTGAGGAAAATCGACATTATTATGGTCTCCTTCTAAATACGCGAATTTGGCACGATCAACACTGAATTCGACCCGTTTTTATTAATAATATATTATTTAGGTTCATGACAAAAAGGACTTGAAGGGTTGTTTGTATGCCTTTTCGAGTGGTCGTTGTAATGAGATGTGAAGTACGAAAACATGAGTACTATGTCGTGAGTCAGGTTGAACGAAAGCATCAGCTGACTGTAACTGTTTGGAAACAGTTTTAAGTGAACGCATGGCATTTGTAAGCATGCTCGCGTAAGAGTTTAGATCCATAATCGTTCACAAAGATGAACGATTCACAAATTTTCCTTGAAGTTGGACGGTCGTTTCGCAAATGAGTTGTACTGCGATGTATCTGATGTCAACATTGACTCCATTACGAATACTGAGTAAAACGAGTGGAAAAGCGCCGATCAACTGTGAAACGTTCGCAACTTAGAGTGAGGCTGTCGGTAAAATCGTTCCACCAACCCGTGAGCAGGTGGGTGGTATGCAGTCGTTCTTAATCATGTGATACCCATTAGTATAGCGAGACAACGGAAAAGTTCAAATTCGAACTTGTTGTGGTGTTCAAATGAATAAATGATTCCTTTGTAATTGTTGGATGCTTGATTTCGAATTCCGAATACAGTACATTCGTTCGCGCTTATCTATTACTTCTTGATCTGATTACGTTAGTTCTGGGGATCTTGATTTGTACTATGATTCAAAAATCTCTAATCACCATATTGGCGTCGCGATGGAGGCTGTGATGGAACGGTTGGACATTCAGATTTTGATACTTTTGAGGATTAATTTGAAAGTTTCGAAATCTGGGCTATGACCAAGGAAGATGATGAGGATGTTAATATTGTAGCACATTTCCTCATATTCATCGGAAAAGAAGCATATAGCTTATTAAAAACTCTGGCTTTACCGGAAAAGCCCACTTCGCTTTCTCATACAACTGTCAAGGATCTACTGCTAGACTATGTTAAGTATACAAATTTCGAATGTGGTTGTACTGACCTTCTTTTATCAAGAGAACGCGACTGATGTTGTGGAAACAATTATTATTCTAACCAATTGTACCCTCTTCTTTTCATCCTCTACGTTAATGAGTTACCGCTGTTGCTTAGGTCGTCGACATTATTGTTTGCGGATGACGTAAAAATCTGGAGAACAATAAAAAGTGAGGTTAATCATCTGGATCTCCAAGCTGATTTAGATGAATTAGTTAGATGTACTCGAGGTCGGGGCTTAGAAATCAATTCATAAGAGTGTGCTAATGCACATCGGTCACGGTAATAGTTACCACTATACTACTAATTGTAAACCTCTTGCGTGCATTCAAGAAAGCAAAGACTTAGGAATAATTATAAATAATTACTTAAAAACTACTACGCATTGCAACATAATCGCTGTCAAACATTTTCGTGCGTTATGTTCACTCCGCCGAGCGTTGACGAGGAAATGTTTCGAATTTTATATTCCAACTATGTAAGACCACATTTAGATTACTGTATTCAAGCAGCTAGCCCATGTCTGTTAAAAGATATTAACTCAATTGAGTGTGTCTGGCGTATGGGAACGAAATTAGTGAATGATCTTTCCAAATTCCCTTACGACGAGCGTTCAAAATGCCTAAAACTTTTCCCCTTGTCGTATCGTAGGACACGAGGTGACCTTATATTGGCATTTCGTATCTTTAATTATGATTCGTGTGTTAATATTTCTTATCTTTTTCCTCCCTCCTTCCGACTTCATAGCAAGAAGGTTCATAAACCGCGATCTAATAAACTTAAAGTGGGGTCCTGTTTTTCTCACCGAGTAGTCAATGACTGGAACGCCTTTCCCAAACAAGTGGTATCAGCTCCATCAGTGAATATTTTCAAGTAGAAATTGAACCTTCACTGGGAGGCAATCTATTAGAATTAACAGAGGTTCACCAACCTACTATTATGATTACTGAAGGCTGATTGTGACCTTGCACGAGTTCGGTTACGCTCAGTAACTACACTTGTAACCAGGCACGATCTCGGTATTCTTTCGATATCACGAGATCTCCAACAAATACATCTCGAATACAGCCATCAACTGCCTTCTGATATTTGGCTCACGGGGATCTTATCGGTTAACTGGCAAGTAGTATTCCTGTAGTGGTGATCATTGTCAACCGCGACTCGATCCACACTACATGGTAAAGGAGGAAGAATTCGTAAAATGATTCATGAGGATATAAAAAATCCCACTGCATTACTACGTTATCCCAACCCAGGGCATACTCAAGGAAATGCAGATAATTCATTGAGGAGTTTGGATGCAGTCCACGAGGATGGACACAAGTTTGGCCAATATTCGTCTTGTGGTAGGTTCCACTCTTTTAATTCATCTAAATTTCGTAATTCTGAGTGCTTTAAATGTGGAAATATTCAGTCGGTTTGTAATACTACTGTTCATCATGCTGCAACGAATATTAAGTCTTGTAAGTTGAGTATTTATAATGATCAATCATCTTTATCAACGATTTCAAAAGACAGTGTAGAATCATATAGCACTTCAGACTTAAATGAAACTCAGAATCCTTGCGAGACAACAGTTTCTAATCAGTCGACTTATCAGATTTCTCATGCTATTGTATCCGATATGGTTTTTCCTAATGATTCACTTATTTCTGACGAAATTTCCTGCAAATCTGAGGAAAATGTGTTGAATGAACCTAGTCATAATCGAAAACCTGATGTAGCTTTGATAGATGCTGATTTTCCTGATGATCTTTTACTCTGTAATGACATTCTTATTAAATGCAAGAGAACTATTTCAGAAGAGTCAAAGCTAGATGTCATACCAAATATTATTTGTCCTCATAATTCATTTGTTTCTTGTGGGAAACTTGTTCAGTGCGAAGCACAAGTACTAAATGATCTCGAGTTTGATTACAATTCGGATGGTTTCACATCAACTGCTACTTATACTTATAACGAAGTCACTTCTAGTGTTTACTCTATTTAATCGATTACAGACACTTAGACTCTAATTTAAGCTCTGGTGGATGTGGTGTTTGAGTGGACTGATGATTCCTTTGTACTTGTTGGATGCTTGACGTCGAATTCTAAATACAGTACATACGTACGTGCTTATCTAGTACTTCTTGATCCGATTACGTTGTGCTTGTGCAATATATTGAGTACGTTGCGTTGATAATTTTTATGCATGACTGGACGATCCCTACATGAATGTGTTTCGCACAGTAAAGTTTTCTTATCTGTTCTGACCTCTTTGATTTGTAGTCTCAGGTTTGCTGAAAATAACTCGTGCTGAAGACCAGTATATTGTTTTTGAAGCTGGTTGAATTTAAGGAGGTCGATCCCTCGGAAACTGTTGCAGGACCGGTGAAATGTCTATGGGCCCTAACCAAATCATCTGGTAGTTGCGTCACTGAATGTCGAACAGATAGTCAATCCTCGTCAAGATCAGAGACAATCAACAAGTATCAGTTAATCGTATGCCATAGACTAGCGCATGCGGTGATGTTCATGCTATCTTTTCTGTGCTTATTCATACTAATATATTTCGATAGTGATGTCCTTTGTGTTATACGGTCTTCAAAGTAGCCATAGTACTTTGATACGTCGAAGAGGTAGTCGACGTGAGATGCCAACTGCGAGCTGTGACTTAGAACTTAGTAGGTGTATCACACCGTCCCCGTTCAACTCGAGTAAGCCCCCGTTTACTCAATACAGGTCATCTACGTTCGTGATATACACATTTCAAAGAAGTTGTAAGAGACAATGCGTTGAAACTACATTGTTTGGCCCAGAAATGTGTTGTATATCTGTA